CAGCCAGTCAAAAGTCAGAGTGCTCTGGGGGGGGGGGGGGGGGTTGGGGGTGATAAACAGTCCTTCAAACAAATTGTCAGTTTCAAGCATGTATCTGCAAACCTTAGAGTTTATTAATAAAGTCTGGGGTAGTCTTATTAATAAAGTCTGAAAGCAATACTTCTGCTCATTAATTCATCCTCCAGCAAGTCAGGAAGTTTCAGCCTTTATAAGTGAAAGTCTAAGGAAAACACGCAATTGAACAAGGCTTGTTAGCAGAACACAGAGCACTGGGAAAACTACAGACGTTTACTTAAGAATAACATTTAATTAAAACACAGCTGATTTGATACAAAAATTAAATGCTTCCATTTATGGAGAAAATGCCTTTAAAAAATGAACTAGTGTCCAGGGGGCAGTTACTCTTTTAAAAAAAAAAAAAAAAAAAAAGTATATTGTATATTGTAGCACAGACACAGTAGAGGGAAATTTCCCAGGGAAACTGCAATTTTCTTGCCAAGTACACAGCACCAGAAAGCCAAATTTGCAAAACAGTGAGAATCATTTGGTTCCTATCTCCACAGGCACACAAATATGTGCTTCACATAGAGGCTGCAAGAACATGTCATTCACAGTTTGTACTATGGCTAAGGACCCATAAACACCGCCACTAGCTTCACCCAAACATGACAACAATATGTCCTGGTTTCTCTGACCCCTCTGTACAAAAGCCTGGAGAACACTCCAATGACCCCAGGTTACATTTCATTCAACATAAACCATCTTATTTGAAAAAGAAAGGGCAGTGGGTCTGTACACCATCATATGCCAACATACACTGTCACACTTAGAGTGCGTTATATCCTATGCAATTACTCATGACAAAACAATCGCAGCTTAAGAGATGCCAAAGGCCACTCATAGCACAAAAAAGGCCATGGGAGAGCTCAGAGCGTAGGATCAGGTCACAGTTTGAGTAACTAATGAGACGAGTCAGCAGCATTAAGGCTAACTACCAGGTTCCAGGCTGCTTTTAAATTAGAAGACTCAAATTCCATTTACAGGAACGACAGCAATTCACGTGCCTTTTAAAAACACTATCAACTGCTTGCAGGCTCTTGAAGTCATCAGATACATCTCTGAAAAATTTTCTTAAAGCCAATCTGGTTCAGGGTTTTAAAGACCCCATTAAAAAAAAAAATAGAGAAATTTTAATAACACTTCCCCCTGAAACGCACTTATTGCTCCAACAGGCTAGCCTTCCGTGCAAAAATGAATCCCATCTTTGTCTACTTGGTCCTACAGAAATAAACATTGTTCTATCAAAAGCAGCTTCACTGGAGTCCCTGCAGAATCCCCCTTGAACTCCAGCGCTGTGATGTAACAGAGGGAGATAAAATCCACATGCACAACGAGAGCATTGCTGCTCAGGTGACAACAGACTGCACGCTCGGAGGAAAGCTCAGGGAGAAGGGAGTAGAAGGTTGCCTTAACAGGAGTTTCAACTGTTCTTGACTTTGGATGGTCCCTTTACCCACTCAAAATAGGAGATTTCCTTTTTAACCTCTATAAAGAGCCCTTCTTCAGAAATCATCTAGCCTCCTAGGGTATCAGTCCTGTGGTACCTTTTCAGGTGTGTCCGGTCCCCACTATCAGAGCTTGCTACAGAAGATGTGTCGTAGGAGTGTGTATCCGTGTTATCAATGTTCAAGAGAAAGGGATCCTCCAAAATGAAAGACTCTTCTTCGTCATCAGTCTGAAGGAAGAGAACCACCACAGCTTGCTAAGCAGTCACATTACACAACACCCTAACTGAAACATTAGCAAAACAGTGTATCAGGAAAACAGAATAATCAAGAGGGGGAGGACAAAGAGATAGTCTCAAATACCAAAATAGAACTATTTACTACTTTACTGAACTGCTACCGTGGAAAATCTAGAACTCACAATAATCACAGAAGTACGTTGGAAGGAAAGTTACTCAATCAATCTTTCTTTGCCAGGTATGATCTATTTTTATCATACCTTTAACAGACCTCTATCTAAGGTGTTCTCAAAGTCTACTCAAAAGTCTACTGTCAAGAGAAGGCATAGAATTTTTATTATCTACTCCAGCACTTTGCTAAATGGTGGCTAAGGGTCTAGCAGTTCCTCATGCTGCTATGTGAGACCACACTAGCCTCAGCTCAGGAGAATGCTGCTAACAGGAGGGCTGATTGTGCTCTTCTCCAAGGCTGACTTCTTCTGACGGATTTTCCTCTCCTCGGACTTTTCCTAGATTTGTTTTTATGTTTCTGAACAGTCACTCTCCCTGCTATCTTCTGAATTCAGTACAATTCACATTTTCATTGAAGCACAGAGCCAGAGAGGGAAAACACAATACTCCACCTAACACCAAGCGTGCGGAGAATAGAGCAGATGCAGCTCACTGCCTTACAGGTGGCAGTCCCATGTGCATTAACTGTGTTTTCTTCGGTACAATAGTACGCACTCTTGGCTCAGTTAGGCTATGATCCACTAAAATTCTTTTCTGAAGGTGTTTAGCCAGTCATTCCCATCCAGTACTCACCAAGATGAGCAGCACTAGAGTAAGTATTTGTCTGCACTGAACTGCATTTTCTTCAGATTGCCTCTCCAGTTTAAGACTCCCAGGATTCTACACTCGCCCTCTAACGTGGATCCGATCACACCTCCTCCCAGTTTGATCTCACTCAAACTTAGTAAGTTCACTCTACCTTCAACCGAGGCACCAGAAGCAGGACGTACCCACATACATCAGCATAGGCCACTCACCTCATTTAAGATGCTTTCCAGCGTTGGTGGGGTATCAACTTGAGGAATGTCAAACTCTTTGTCATCGATCTGGACAACAAAAACCATAGACTGAACTTAGGCTCCCTACCCCGCCTTCCAAACTTCTTTCTAACTAAAGAAAAAAGCAACTACGTGCATACTCCTTCCAAACTACCCTCTTACCCAAAAGTTACCACTATATACTAAAGGTTCTCTTATTCAAAACATGTCCTCTGAAATTTGACATTGCAAGAGAGAACAAGAGGTGTAAGCTTCGAAAACATAAAATGGTTCCTTGACCTCCACCCAGACCTGATGTTTCAAACGCCTTTTTTTATTTTCAAGAAAGATCCCTGCAATTAATATTACATTGCCTTTCTAATACAGACAGGCATCAATACGCTAGATCTTCTCTCTGAATGGTTAGTAGTAGGAGAAAAAAAACAGGTTTCTTAAACGTAAAGGTACTTTTATCTGACATGTGCATTATCTGAACTCTGATTTTATTATAGTAGAAATGCCGGTCTCAGCACTTCAGTCCTAACTGCTTAAGTAACTACCACTTATTCCGTCCCCATGTGTCTTAGGTATCCCAACTGCTTTAGAAACTGGCAGAGTACACGACTAACACCTGATATGGTATCTTCCAAAAATTAGATTATTTTAACTTCTTAACTTACCTGCTGCTGCAGCAATTTATAGTACGAGCTTTATTGTTGCTTGTTTTTTGCCCAACACCAAGCGTTGCGTGTCTGCGATTTCTTAACCGTGAATTAAACTCAGGGAAAGCGCCCTCTAAAATTAATTTCCAGCAATAAGCGCTCCTTACACCCGGCCTAACTCCCGGGCGGGGGGGCACACACGCAATTTAGCCGCGTCGCCAAACTGCAAACGCATG